CAGAAGGGATGAATACTGAAGCGTGACGGTTTCTGTTAAACAGAGCAAGATGTTTCATTTTTGGGTGCTCAAATCCATCATTTGTTGGAAAAGTGTCACGTGCCAAACCGAAATACAGTCACTTAGTTTTTTTAGTATTTTTGCCTTCATCCTGCAAATCACACCCGCTAGAAAATGAAAAGTTCACGAAGACAATGAGTCGATTATCACGCAAAGATAGCTTACCGTTTCAAGAGAGAAACTTACTTAGGTTGTGCTGTGATCGATCTTGTGATGAAAATCATACCTCTCAAAGGGGTAAACGCTAAAGCCTGACTTTCCCTTTTCAAAAAAGAATAACGTTTTTCATTTTTCATGTTTAATTACATCATAAGTGATAAAAGCGTGACATACAAAACCGAAATACTAAGTCATTATTTATTGAGTGGTAGGGCCGGACGGAAAAATATTTGGCTCAGGCACGTGACCTACGGACCGAGCACGTCCTTGCTTCATGACCGAGAAATTCGGTGAATAAGCATTTTATCATATGACCACTAATTGTTAAAAATTCCAACTTAAATAATATGCGATAGACGGGCATACGAGCACATCAAAATTCGGTTAATAAAACTTTTCCTTTTCATTTCGATTAGCCTTGAGGGGGGAAGGGAATAACCTTAAACACGAGTGATCTGGATACCCAAAACACTGTGACAGCGGAAGTTCGGTTCATTTTCAAAGCGTCAGCCACATTGTCAAGATCTTGGTAAGTGCAATTGAAAATCTTTTCTAGTCACTCGGTTTTTATCAGCTTTAGTTATTTAATAATTGTAGAGAGGTAAGGCTCTTATGGCAAAGCCCAGTAGCTGCTTTTTCGAACTTTGTGTTTGTAATATGTAGTGATGTCTCGTTTCGAGCGTTAGCCCTTCATTAAAGCGGTTGATGGCGCGATTGAATCGCCACCACAGTGAAATTAATTCGTTATTCAGCGGTTTTCTCGAATCTCTGAGGCTTTATACCGTATAATCTATCCTCATTAACTAATGTGACGGAGTGTCGTTCAATTTGAGAAATTGATGATCATAAAACTAAAATCAGACCTCTATTTATGATGTGGGCTATCCCTCTCTGAAGGAAACCCGTGGTGCTTTATTATGTGGTTTTCCAGTGACTATGATCTGTATTTAACTCGACTCTGTTTTAGGAGGGTTGAACGAACGATTCAGAGATCGCGCTAGATTCGAATTGAATTTCTGTTCTCTACTTATACACAAGCGTTACATGGTCGAGATACCCTTCACTTAAATCTTTGGATACTAGCGGCGGGCTCTACGGTACATATTTTTCTGAAGGCCGTAATCTGTTTCTTTTTCTGTTAAAACGCCAGAGTCTCGCATAAGAAAATAAGTTATGACGCTGCGCGCTCACGAAGAGAGATGTTTTATTTTTTCAGAGAAACTGAAACTTTCTTTAATCCACTGTTTTTACATATGAGCGTACTTTTCCGTTGATCGATGCTTCATATCTCCACCGTTAAGTAAATTGCTTTCTTCAAACCTTTATGGTTTTATACAATGTATTTCAACCTCATTAGCTAAGACTGTTCAGCATTGTTTAATTTGAGAAACTGATGCTTTCTAAAATTACGTGATCGTAAACTAAAATCAGTCCTCCATCAAGACATATTTATAATGCGGACTGTCCTTTACTTATGTCAGAGGATATTCGCGGTGTTACAGTTCGTAGTTTTCCAGTGTCCATAATTTTCATTAGTAATTCACGTGACCTTGTTCACTTTTTGCGAAAGTAGCAAGGTCTCGCATACGAAGAGAGGTCAGTCCATGACACCGCGTGAAAGAAAGATGCTATAATTCTCTGTGAGGAACTGGAGGAAGTGTAACTGATCACTGCGCTTACTTTTCAGATGTAATTAATATACGAAGCCCAGCCGTTAAATTGGTTGAGAAGCTTTGTTAGGCTTTGAAATTAACTCAAACAACATTCGCTCTAAAGTCTAAATATTTTGTCATTGCTATTTCACAAACTCATTATTAAATCCTTTTATAAATGTGGGAGAAGGAAGACTAAAATCTTTTTTTTACTTCCATCACGTTGACAGGTTACTGGTAAAATGACAACCAAAACATTTCTCTATCTCTTAAACGGTCAAAAACGTGCAGAACTGTATTTTGTGGTTTTAAAATTAGTCAAGATCTTTTTAAGGGAAAAGTGTCAAATGTTTTTCACTGTTTTTGTCGTTTCACTTTCGTAAGTATCAGCTGCGACGTCGATAATTTTGTATTGTTTTTTAGAGTAACTTTACCGAAACTTGAGCTTTAACTTTACGGTTACTTGTGGTATGAGTAACCCTTTAATCGCAAAGGCTAAAGGCTAATTTGTCTTGTCCTGTCCTATCCTGGTACTATTAAGTCACGACATGTTGTGCAAAAATTGCCTCCGGAGTGAAATTAATTTGTCGCAACACTTTGTGGCCTCACAAATTTTCTATCATTCTCATAAGCTAAGAATAGATTCGTTTTCAGCGACATTCATCTGATAAGTAAGCTCGTTACTTGGTAATAGCTTGCGACAAGAATATTTTGCTACAATTAATGGGATAATGTTAACCGTTAGTCGTTAAATGGCTAAAATTTTAACCGTTAGCCGTAAAAGCCATTACCCCATTGAGACCTTCCTTCTATTACAGTGAACCCATCATTCTCAAATGCGACTTGTTTGGCTTTGACCGTGTAGCCTTGGAAAATTAAATTTCCCGAATTTCGAGAAATAAGGTAATGTTGACATCAATACTAAATTAAACGGGAAGCAAGCCTGTCAAGCTTGCAATTGTTTGTTATTTTTCGAAGACGAGGAAGAACCTTAGTCATATACAATTTTTATCATTCAAATGAACGCTTGTTGTCAGTGCCCTCTTGTTGCAAGTTTCTCGCAGTTGTCTGAGGGAAAGGTTAAAGCAGGGCGAATTTCCGTTGAGAGTTTTCAGGAGAGTGCTTACTGGATTCGGGGATCCTACAACGGAACTGTAGTCCAGTCCATTTTCCCCACCTCATCAAAATAAATATGTATAACTATTTATTATAACTATTGATTATTACTGAGAGTCCAGCTACGTCTCTCTCTCTCTCTAATGTCATCTGCTTGTTGCCATATTTCAGTCGCTCGCTGGATTAATGCCTTCAAAGGAAAGACCAGTGATGTGGTTAATTTCGAGCAAATTACCGATCCAATCCGTCCGCCTGTTTTTTTTTTAAATTTTTTTATTTATTTTAACAGTTACTAATTTTGTCTTCGATCATGAAAATCACACCCGCAAGAAAATGAAAAGCTCATGAGTACAATAGGTCAATTTCCACGCACAGATAGCTTACTGTTTAATGACAGAAGCTTTACTTGTACTCTCGATCTGATCGATCTCGTGAAGCAAATCCAACCGTTCCAAAAGGGATGAACACTGAACCCTGACGTTTCTCGTTAAACAGAGCAAGATGTTTCATTTTTAGGTGCTCAAATCCATCATTAGTTATAAAAGTGTGGCGTGCCAAACCGAAATACAGTCGCTTAGTTTTTTTTTTTTTGGCGTCGATCATGCAAATCACACCCGTTAGAAAATGAAAAGTTCACGAAGACAATGAGTCGATTATCACGTAAAGATGGCTTACCGTTTCAAGAGAGAAACTTCCTTAGGTTGTGCTGTGTTCGATCTTGTGATGAAAATCAAACCTTTCAAAGGGTAAACACTAAAGCCTGACGTTCCCTTTTCAAAAAAGAATAACGCTTTTCATTTTTCATGATCGAGAGACAAATATTTTCCCGTCCGGCCCCACCAAACTCAGTCAATAAGCATTTGATCATATGACCACTGTTGAAGATTTCAACCTAAAAAGGACGCGATAGACGGGCATACGACCACATCAAAATTATGCAATTAAAACTTTTCGTTTCCATTTCGGTTCGCCCAGAGAACGGAAGGGAATAACCTAAAATACAAGTGATCTGGATACCCAAAACACTGTGACAGCGGAAGTTCGGAAGGCTGAGAAAAGTCCCGACTGTAATTCGCTATTTTCGTTGTTTCATTTTCAAAGCATGAGCCACATCGTCAACATCTTGGTAAGTGCAATTGAAAATCTTTTCTAGTCACTCGGTTTTTATCAGCTATCGTTATTTAATAACTGTAGAGAGGTAGGGCTCTTATGGCAAAGCCCAGTAACTGCTTTTTCAAGCTTTGTGTTTGCAATATGTAGTGATGTCTCGTTTCGAGCGTCAGCCCCTCATTAAAGCGGTTGATGGCGCGATTGAATCGCCAACACAGTGAAATAAATTCGTTCTACGGCGACTTTTTCAAATTTCTGTGGCTTTATACCGTATGACTATCCTCATTAACTAAGGTTATTGAGTATCGTTCAATTTAAGAAATTGATGATCATAAAACTAAAATCGGACCTCTATTAATGTTGTGGGCTGTCCCTCGCTGAAGGAAATCCGTGGTGTTTCATTACGTGGTTTTCCAGTGGCTATGATCTGCATTAGCTTTTAACTTAACTTTGTTTTAGGCGAGTTCAACGAACGATGGCGAGACCCCCCTGGCACACGACCATTAGACAAACTCAAGGGCGGTTTTTTTTTCTTTACTTGATAAGATGAACAAACCAAAGATCAAAAATAACTTGGATAACAGTTGACGTTCGCCAGTCCGTTTTCAAGAAAACAATACAGGTCAAATTAATTTTACAAGTTTCACCGAATGTGATCCGTTGATGTGCTCCAGTTGTATTTATCCACGCGTCTTCTTCACTTATTTTTTGTTTTAAGTTGGTATTGTGAATTATAACACTTTCAGCTAGTTACAAAAAGTTTCCAGGTGTAATCCACTCAGCCTGTTTTTGTAACTTCACATATGGGTTCCTATTTGCAGTGAATCATTGTGAATCCAGATTATCGAGTCACTCTGTTAACTTGTGTTACTAAAAATAATGTTTCCCTTATAACAGGAGAGGATGGCTAAAGAGTATCTCCAAAAAGCGCTTGTCATCAAATCTGAAATTGGCGACAGAGAAGGAGAGGCAACTGCCTACGGAAACCTAGGAACTGTGTTTCACTCGCTCGGGCAGTACGACAAGGCTATAGAGTATCTCCAAAAAGCGCTCATCATTAGAACTGAAATTGGCGACAGAAAAGGAGAGGCAACTGACTACGGCAACCTAGGTACTGTACTCTCGGTGTTCTCAGTCTCAAATCTGAAATTGGCGACAGAGAAGGAGAGGCAACTGCCTACGGAAACCTAGGAACTGTGTTTCACTCGCTCGGGCAGTACGACAAGGCTATAGAGTATCTCCAAAAAGCGCTCATCATTAGAACAAATTGGCGACAGAAAAGGAGAGGCGAACCAAGGCTAAACGACAAGGCTAAAGAGTATCTCCAAAAAGCGCTTGTCATCAAATCTGAAATTGGCGACAGAGAAGGAGAGGCAACTGCCTACGGAAACCTAGGAACTGTGTTTCACTCGCTCGGGCAGTACGACAAGGCTATAGAGTATCTCCAAAAAGCGCTCATCATTAGAACTGAAATTGGCGACAGAAAAGGAGAGGCAACTGACTACGGCAACCTAGGTACTGTGTTTCAGTCTCTCGGGCAATACGACAAGGCTAAAGAGTATCTCCAAAAAGCGCTTGTCATCAAATCTGAAATTGGCGACAGAGAAGGAGAGGCAACTGCCTACGGAAACCTAGGAACTGTATTTCACTCGCTCGGGCAGTACGACAAGGCTATAGAGTATCTCCAAAAAGCGCTCATCATTAGAACTGAAATTGGCGACAGAAAAGGAGAGGCAACTGACAACGGCAACCTAGGTACTGTGTTTCAGTCTCTCGGGAAATATGACAAGGCTATAGAGTATCTCCAAAAAGCGCTTGTCATTAGAACCGAAATTGGCGACAGAAAAGGAGAGGCAACTGACTACGGCAACCTAGGTACTGTGTTTCAGTCTCTCGGGCAATACGACAAGGCTAAAGAGTATCTCCAAAAAGCGCTTGTCATCAAATCTGAAATTGGCGACAGAGAAGGAGAGGCAACTGCCTACGGAAACCTAGGAACTGTGTTTCACTCACTCGGGCAGTACGACAAGGCTATAGAGTATCTCCAAAAAGCGCTCATCATTAGAACTGAAATTGGCGACAGAAAAGGAGAGGCAACTGACTACGGCAACCTAGGTACTGTGTTTCAGTCTCTCGGGAAATATGACAAGGCTATAGAGTATCTCCAAAAAGCGCTCATCATTAGAACTGAAATTGGCGACAGAAAAGGAGAGACAACTGATTACGGCAACCTAGGTGCTGTGTTTCAGTCTCTCGGGCAATACGACAAGGCTAAAGAGTATCTCCAAAAAGCGCTTGTCATCAAATCTGAAATTGGCGACAGAGAAGGAGAGGCAACTGCCTACGGAAACCTAGGAACTGTGTTTCACTCGCTCGGGCAGTACGACAAGGCCAAAGAGTATCTCCAAAAAGCGCTCATCATTAGAACTGAAATTGGCGACAGAAAAGGAGAGGCAACTGACTACGGCAACCTAGGTACTGTGTTTCAGTCTCTCGGGCATTACGACAAGGCTAAAGAGTATCTCCAAAAAGCGCTTGTCATCAAATCTGAAATTGGCGACAGAGAAGGGGAGGCAACTGCCTACGGAAACCTAGGAACTGTGTTTCACTCGCTCGGGCAGTACGACAAGGCCAAAGAGTATCTCCAAAAAGCGCTCATCATTAGAACTGAAATTGGCGACAGAAAAGGAGAGGCAACTGACTACGGCAACCTAGGTACTGTGTTTCAGTCTCTCGGGCATTACGACAAGGCTAAAGAGTATCTCCAAAAAGCGCTTGTCATCAAATCTGAAATTGGCGACAGAGAAGGTGGGGCAACTGCCTACGGAAACCTAGGTACTGTGTTTCACTCGCTCGGGCAGTACGACAAGGCTATAGAGTATCTCCAAAAAGCGCTCATCATTAGAACTGAAATTGGCGACAGAAAAGGAGAGGCAACTGACTACGGCAACCTAGGTACTGTGTTTCAGTCTCTCGGGCAATATGACAAGGCTATAGAGTATCTCCAAAAAGCGCTTGTCATTAGAACCGAAATTGGCGACAGAAAAGGAGAGGCAACTGACTACGGCAACCTAGGTACTGTGTTTCAGTCTCTCGGGCAATACGACAAGGCTAAAGAGTATCTCCAAAAAGCGCTTGTCATCAAATCTGAAATTGGCGACAGAGAAGGGGAGGCAACTGCCTACGGAAACCTAGGAACTGTGTTTCAGTCCCTCGGACAACACGACAAGGCTAAAGAGTATTTTCAAAAAGCGATTGAAAATTATGAGGAGCTGGGACATTTCTTGGGCGCCAATGATCAGTTTAAAACATCATTTCTGGAGGACTCCGGAATATTTACCAACAGGCGGCTTTGTAATTTGCTTTGTGCCACCGGAAATGCTTGGGATGCTCTTTATGTTGAAGAGTTAGGTCGAACTAGAGGCCTATCAGACTTGATGGCAGAGAAGTACTCGGTTGAAACGCACATCTCTGCTAATCCACAATCTTGGTTTGGCATTGAAAACATTAGAGAGAAAAATAACTGTACTTGTCTGTACATTTCTTATTTTCACAATCATTTGCATTTGTGGGTCTTGAAAAAAAGTGGAGTCCTTCACTTTAGAAAAATATCACTAGAAGAGAACCTAGTTCAGGCTTTAAACACGGATGAATTGCTACCTCTCTTCCTTGAACGAAATAGCTCAGCAAGAGTGCGACTTGTGGAAGAGGACGAGGAAGAGAAAGTAATTTCAAGTCTATCTTTGTGTTACAAAATGTTTATTGCTCCCATTTATGATTTGCTTGAGGAACCTGAAGTCATTATAGTTCCTGACCGCAGTTTGTACAAAGTTCCCTTTGCTGCCCTGAGTGAAAAGGAGGGAGCCGAATACCTCTCGGATACTCATAGGATCCGTGTCATTCCTTCTCTAAGGACACTCAAGATTATTCAAGATAGTCCAGAGGACTATCACAGCAACGCTGGTGCCTTGATAATAGGCAATCCCAAGGTTGATTGGCTGCCGCCATTGCCAGGTGCAAGAAAGGAAGCGGAAATGGTCGGACGACTGGTAGGCTTTCCGCCTCTGGTAGAAGAGGAAGCAACGAAGCAGGCAGTGCTTGAGCGGATAAGTTCAGTGAGCCTAATACATTTTGCTGCCCACAAGAGCGCCGAAAAGGGAGAAATTGCCCTCTCCCCCAAACCTACTCCCAACAGTCGAAACGCTATCCCACCACAGGAAGCTTACATGTTGACGACGGCTGATATCTCACGAGTGAAAGTCAGAGCTAAACTGGTGGTACTTAGCTGCTTTCACAGTGGACAGATAAGAGCCGAGGGAGTAATTGGAATTGCCCGTGCATTCTTGGGATCCGGTGCTCGCTCGGTACTGGTTGCGATGTGGGCCATTCCAGACTCAGCAAAAGAACAGCTGATAAATCGGTTCTACGAACACCTTGTTGAAGGAGAAAGTGCCAGTGAATCCCTTCATCAGGCCATGAAGTGGATGAGAAAAAACGGCTTTACCAAAGTGTCTGACTGGGCTTCGTTTACGCTGATTGGAGATGACGTGAGGCTCGAGTTTGACAAGGGAAGATAAGACTCGGTGAGAACAGGTACTTCATATATAAAAATTAAAATAGATGTGAAGGCGGCTATGACTACTGGTCGCTGACTGTCGGCGGGGATCCTTTCAGTTGTTACCTTGAACATCAAGGCTGTTTTGATGTGTATTTCTCCCTCTCTCTCCCCCTCTCTCCCCCTCTCCCCCTCTCCCCCTCTCCCCCTCTCTCCTCCTCTCCCCCTCTCTCCCCCTCTCCCCCTCTCTCCCCCCTCTCCCCCTCTCTCCCCCTCTCTCCCCCCCCTCCCTCTCTCTTGAAAGTCTTGAAAGTGCCTCTCTGCCAATCAATCAGATACAAGTGTTGGCCATATATATACAATTGTATTTCCTTTATATCCAAAATATTAATTAAGTCAATAATAAATTGTTGCTTTTACTTTTTTGCAGAAAAAAAACCCCGACGGAGTAAATAACGAGAATTACTCGAAGGAAACCGAGCTGAAAGACTTTTAGCTTTTTGAGATAGATAGGTTAAATAGAAACAAGAAGAGAAAATACTGTATCCCATATTTCATTTAAATTTTAAAAGAATGGTCCCAAATTAGGGGAGATCTATTTCAATTTTTTTGTGCTTTCTTTTCTCAAGATTTTTTTGTTTTTTCACGTAAACTTTATATTCTTTTATAATGAGCACGAAACAATATTGACGTACATATGGCTTTTAAGTGAAGCGAAATGAGTGTAATCAAAACAGTAGTTTAGGTATAAAACGAACCACTAAAATCTAGGATTTTTTAACAGAAACCTTTTCTTTAGTCATTTGCTAGACAGATCGAAAATTGCATTCAAGGTCTATTTTATCGAAAAAAAGACACAATGCCCTTTTTTTGTTTTGGATATGCTCAACGTTTAGTCTTTCTCAAAGGAAATAATTTTTGCAACTGATTATCAGCTATGTAGCCATTCCAAATAAGCAAAAATAAAATTTGGCTCGAGAAAAAACCAAAAAAATCTCTTGTGTTTCTCTTGAACAGGTTGCAGTGTAAAATGGTGGCAAACAGATGTTCAAAGTCTCGCCATGGTAGTGGGATGAGGGACGCAACTGGTGGAATTCGGGAACCTAGATAAATTTTCTGCATGCTCTTAGTAGAGGCTCTTGGCACTGAAAATAAAAATGAAAGGCGTGATCGCAGTAAGGATTTTTCCGTGCATTTTTCTGGTTGCTTTACTCAACTCGTGTTACTCATCTTTTACGGTGATTCCTTAGATAAAAAGGTCATCGAACAATCTTTTTTAAACTTTCTTTTCATGTTCTTTACCAGTGTCTTTGTCGAAAAATACAATAAAAAAGATAGGTCACCATTCTTGTTTAAGAGGTTTAATAGACCAAACTTACCCCATTTACGTCTGTACTGGCGCCATTTCATCGGTTCACGGTACATTTTGCTGCGGCTGGAAGCAAGTGTTTTTAAAGAAACACCAGAAAAAACTTGATAGGTAAAAAGTCTCGAGCTTAGGGAACAATTTGATATATAATTAGTGTGAAAAACAGGCAAATTAAACCGAAACCTCGACTCAAAACATTCCACAAGTCGTTCCTTTCAAAGTCATTATTTGTGAAATGTGAGAATGACGATACCGTACTATGTCAGCCAAACAAAATTTACTTATCGAAATCTAGATATGACATAAAATATCTTAATTTTAGCTTTGGAGCTAAAGACTACACAGCGTGCACATGACCAGCTGCGCAAGAGGAAGAGATTACACGTAAATGAAATAAGGCCTCGATGTTGAGTGAATTTCAACAAATTAAATTAAGCTGTTTAAAAATTATGACGGTCAAAATTATAAGGGTCAGCAATGATTTATATCTGCGATCATCTCTCTCTCACTCATTCATGTCACAGCAGTAAAGAATGATTTTTCGATAAAATCGTGCAAAGGAACTTCCAGTTCGAAAAAAGATAGAAATCAAGTCGGTTTCTGGCTTGGACCACTGGGGATGGTACAACATAAAAACTGTTGAATAGTTCTCAAGAAAAGCTATAAATATTCCTTAGCAATTAAATTTCTTGTATTATTCATGAACAAGAAATAAGGATGCTTGAACGTTTGCGTTCTCATCTGAATAACAAAAAAAGTGGAGGGGGACAGGGTGGCGGGAGCCCGGGAGAGGGCGGGAAGCGGAAGCAGAAATAAAGAAGGCGATAGTTTGTTGTTTATTACTAGGTATTATTCAATCAAAAACACTTATCTAGCAAAGTTTTGAAATTTCCATTCGGAGGCAAGAAAACGTAAATTTGTCCTCGGGCTGGAAAAACAGCATAACTTTAGATGGATTTGGAAATCCCCTTAATTCGATTACGTCATAGGTCATAAGATAGCATGACACATGACACATGACACATGACATGTACATGTACATGTACATGTTCAGTGCGGTCTTGCCGGCGCAAGGAAGACTTCTTCTAACCTGAAAACTTTCCGTAGAGGTTTAAAGGAAGATTTCAACCCAGCGAACAAATCTGATAATCAGCCGAACAAGAAATTAAAGTTCAATCATTCTTCACTAGCATTTAAACTGAACGCTCAAAATGCAAACGGTTAAACAGTTGATGTGCAGTGATTGAAATCATCCTTTGGAGTCAGCTTTTTTATTCGCTCACGACTAGTTATGTCTAGTTACTTACGTCAAAAAGGGAAAGCAAGCACGGATTCAGGAGAAGCAAACTCTAAACGTTACGTCTGGCTCTTGATTTTTTTATTTGATTTTGAAATGATATTCCTAAATGCACGGAAAAACTTATATTAAATTGCAATAGCTGTTATATTACACCGCGGTAAACTGAGACTTTTGTCTCTATAACGAGATGTCAGAGGCGATGGTCAAACTAACGCTTTCCAAACTATTTTGTGTTTTCCAGAATAGCATTTTCCGTGAAAAATGGACCTTTTAGGCATATTTTTCATATCGATTCCGGAAAATATCGTGCTTTTTTCCAGACAAAGTAAAATGTTGGCCTCAAAGCAGCACTATTCCGGAAAAAACACGGAAATTTCTCCTACGTAATAAAAGCAAAATGCTTCAGTTTTCACGGAAAATGTGTTTCAAAAGAGCAACGTTTTGTATAATTCAACGCAGAGTTAAACGTAGGTGCATTTTACTCTTACAAATATTCAGTTTTTTACTGCGTTGGTTGTTAACTCTTGTCAAAGTGCACATAATGCTCTGCACGTTTAGGAACGGAACGACAAAGTCTTTGATTTTAACCCCCAATATGTTTAAGCGGTTTTTTTTTTCATTTTTATTTGACATGGTACTACGAACTGTAATACAGAAATTCTGCAAGGTTTGACGTCCAGTGCTGCAGAAATTCTGCAAGGTTTGACGGCCGAAGCGTGCAAAAATTCTGCAGGCAATGACATCCTGAGTAAAAGAAATTTTATGTGTTGCAAGGTTCAATGCTGCAGAAATTCTGAGTCGTTGCTTTTCCATTCACAAAAAAGACAAATTGTAGGGGGCTCACGCATACCAACAGTTTCGATCAGTTTTCTTTTTTATGATTTTTCTATTTTTCAGTGATCATAGTTGAAATAACAATACTGTGCATGCTGATGTTTTCTGAATGACGGGATAAACTTGTGAAAATAACTCCATGGTTGGCGATGGTCAAACCGTGATAACCAGGTTAGTGAAACTTAGTTTAATTAAGAAAACTGACCTGTAATAACTTTCATCGGGACCCAATGATCCCCCTGCCAAAAGGCAAGAAAATGAACAACAATGTTAAGTTTTGGCACAGTTTGAAAGTTAAACCCAAGTTTCTGATCCTCTTGATTAATCTGAAGACGAGAGCAACACCATGAAGGGTGGGAGTCGGGAGGCAAAGGAGGAGATTACTATTAGAATTTCAACTAAAGGTTTACAAATGTTTTAAGGTGTTGAAAAAGAAACAGTCTCCGATCAAGGGATGGTTTTAAAACCTTATTGAATATTCCTTCAGGATATTATGAAAGTTTGTGTTCTCACCTAAATAACAAAACATTGGTGGTTAAGGTTACTCAACAGGCGGAGGTTTTGGAATATAGGAAAAAGTCATGACTGTTTTCCATTCAAGTTTTTTCTGTTGTTTAACTTTCGAAAGCATCAACCACCAAGTCGACAACTTGATAAGTGCATGTAGAAGGATATCCAGTGTTCTGTCATATACCCAGTAAATAGAAATAGTATGTTGTTAATTAAGGCAATTTTGCATGATTAACGTTTTAATTGATGGAAAAGCCTGTAATGAATCAGTCCTGTTTTCTCGAGTAATCTTTGCTCTTTGACTATTAAGCAGTGCAACTTTGTGCAAAATTCGCCACTGAAGTGAAATGGATCGTTACAAAGAGACCATGTAAAACCTTTGTGGTCTCACATCTTATCAATGATCCTCATCTGCTATTAAAATATTCGTTTTCAGGGACATTCGTCTAATAAATGCGCTCATTGCTTGTAAATGAACAATCTTTGCAAATGTTGCCATATTTCGGAATGTTAGGAAAGTTCCCAGTACACTGTAGTGAAAGGTTTATCCTTCTTATTAGGCTAAAAATTGAAACGCTTAAAACTCGTCGAATGCTAACTTCGAAGCAGTATTCAATCTGTGATCATCTTTTGCGCATTAACAAACGGTTATGAACCAAAAGAAAGATGTTTTGATAAAACCGAACGAAGGAGCTTCCAGTAGACAAAAATAAAGAGGAATTAAATCCATATTTGGCCTGGCCTACACTGTAGACGATAGATTATTTAAACTGTCGAATAGTTCTCAAGAAAACTAGAACAGATTTCTCATTAATTATTCTTCTATTATTCATTAATAAGAAATAAAATAGGGTCTTGATTACAAATATGTTTTGACAGCCGGTACAAAAAAATCGAAAAACTAAGAATGGGGAAACTAAAACTTATACTGTCATGGATTTCCCAGGGTTGAATTAGTATTTCTTTTTTACTGTCTTCTTTTTTTTTAATCAAAGCGAAAAATGCCTCG